AGCAAGAAAGCCAGTAAGCTCAGACAGTTCCAAGGACCAGACAGTAGAAAGTACATCAGAGAAGCAGTGGTTGTACAGAATGACTATAACATGAACGTTTAGTTCCTCAGGAAAACTGCTCTAATAGCTCATGCTGATACATTTATTTATTTCATTTATGTATTGTACTTGCAAGCCATCCCACAGCCCATGTCCATAGCAGGCATTTTGAGGAATACAGCAGATTACAGTTGCCATCAGGAGCAACTGTGTTAATGCTTCCATTGTATTTGAATGACAGCCCAGAAAATGCTCACTGACTTTCTCAAGAGGACAATAATATATGACTCTGCACATAAAGTATGCTTCTTATAAACAGAACACCCTGTTTAAAAGTATGGAGACCTATGTGTGAGAATGCCAATGTTCTAGGAGCAGAATTATTTTAAAAAGTGATTGCAAAGGAGCTAATCTGATGGGCAGTGACCAATGATGACACCAGAACCCAGCCAGAATTTACAAACAATCTTTTTAAAACTATAAAACAATATAAAACATAAACACAAAAAGGAGAAACCGGTGCTCTGGAAAAACAACCAGTCCTCATTCAGTACATAAGAGCAACACATAATCCTATTCCAAATCCCTTAGCAAACAACAATGCCTTGACTGGAAGACTGAGCAACATTAACACAGCTTTCTTTACATGTTGTTTTTCGTTTTTTGGGGAGAAATCCCCCCACCCCGCAATCTGTATGACAAGAGTTGGTTCTTTCCAATGACCATCTGACTCTCTGCCTACCCAAATCTTCATTTTGACTGAAGAAGTTATTTGGAGGAGTAACGAAAGGTCTGTTTTAATAAACTTTGGTCCGGTTCTCATGATTTAACCTTTTAAGATACTTTTGGCCTGGATGATTGAATCATTTACAAGATACATTGACACAGCTGATTTCCAGGTATGGCTCAGGTGTGTGGGAGATTCATGATGGGGAGCCCTGATAGGTTTCTTTAGTAGTGCTGCCGAACAGCAGTTCTCTTCAATTATATCAGAAGTGACCTTACATTCCCATAATGATGTCACATCAGAGGCAATTAAATTGACTTCTTAGAAAACATTTTTAAGTGGACATAAAGCAGCCAACCTTTCCAAGATGTTGGAGCTCTGGCAGCTGCCCATAAAAGTCAGGTGTCAAGACTGACTCCACAATAGTGCCTCAGGAAGAGATTTCACAGTTTAGATGCCACAACTGGAAAGATTCTCTCCTGCTCCCTAAGGACAGACTGAGATGTTACAAATGACAATAAGTGGGTAGTAGTTAACTCCCAGGATGATGGTATCACATTACACGCTGAATATTTCTAGATGCCATAGGGGTGAAAGGAGGAAAATATGTGAGACAGCTGTCTTTGTTGACAAACATGTGTCATTTGTGCAGTCTACTTTTCTTCATAGAAGCAGGGATTCCCTATACATGTTTATTTCAAGAGAACAGTTAGGAAGATCTTACATTTTCAATATTCAAAATTAAATGAAGATCTTTACAAAATAACAACAAATAAATCTGAACCTTATTTTCTCCACATGGTTAATTCTGTACTTCATTTTTAAAGAATGCCTGAAACCTGCAAAACTCTATGTTTAATGCCAAATAAATGATTTCCTTTGTCCTAAGCAAAGAAAAATTTGCTTGTTAGAAGTGTGTTATTTGAATCTAGCTGCACAGACCTGACAAGCAACAAAAGTGTTAATAGCAAAAAATGATATTCTAATAAATAAAACTGTAATAATCTTGCAGAAAGCAAAGACTGCATACAAAATGTTGTTATGCAATCTTAGGTTAGGTTTGGGATTTAGGAACCAGCATATGTGCCAGATACCTTTTGTCTCACCTCCAGATCAACCATGCTAATTCTGTGATGCACAAACATTAATGGCAGGTAACTGGGTCCAAAGCCTCAACCCCATCCATTTTAATTTTTCTGCAGTGATGCAGAAAATATTTTTACTAGCAAAACAACAAAAGCAAAGAGATCCTAGCCTGAGACTTTGGAAACTATTAAAGTAAGGAAAATTTGAAGTCAATTCAAATATGATGTTGAAGAAGGTCTCAATTTGCTATGCAGTGTGTACTCTAAGAATTGCCAGATAAAGCTGCCCAAGACAAACTACTAGGTTCACTCATCTATATGTTGCAATCCCGAAAATGAGCTAATTCAGTAACTGAGTAAAGTATATTGTACAACATTAAAAAGCCATGTTTGGAACATTAATATTCTGAGATGCACACTTGAAATGTCAGGATTAGTATCAAAAAGCTCTCTGCTATATGCTTCAAAGGATATTATAGATTTCTCCTTCCAGGAGCAATTAATTATTTTTGTTATATTTATATTTTAGTTTTTCTACAGGAACTCAAGTTGTATCTAGCATTCCCTATTCCAAATATTCTTCACAAGAACCCTGGGAAGTAGATTGAACTGAGAGAGAACAACTGCCCCAGAGTCACCTAGAAATGTCCATGGCTGAGGCTAGATATTCTGGTCCCAATCCAACATTTTAACCACTACATCACATTGGCTCATGCCACTCCAGAGGATTTCCCAAAACTATGACAGCTTTTCTAGCGATTTTATACCAAGAAGCTTTGACATAATTCCTATGTATCTCAGCTCATATCTATATATTTCAAAAATGTTGAAAATGCCCTTTAAAGTTTACTATTCCATATAACAGTTTTGTGTCTTAGGTGAGTGTGTCCTTTGAACTCTTGCAATTATTGACCATCCAATTCTACAAACTGCTACCTGGGTACACTAACAAAATGGACCAAACTCCAACACATGTCCAGCACCCAGCTGCCCCAGAGATCAGTGGAGCAATAGTTATCATGTCCATCACAGTTTGCCTCTTGTACAGAGCACAGGTTAGGGCACTTGAATGCTCCTCCATCTTACAGGTTTTATTCATTCACATGAGTCATGGTGCCACTTAGGTCTAATAATAAACAAAGGCACAGTCCATCTACCCAGAATAAACTGGGATTTAGTTGCATTGCATGCCACTGTTTATTCTGCTATACCTAACTGATTTTATAGGATCAGACCTTCAGTACTTTAATTATAGAACAAGCCCTGAAAATAGTATCTTTTAGGCAGAAAAGGCAAGAGAAAATTGGGACACAGATGATTATCAAAATTTCTGTAACTTCAGCCAAAATACTGTGGCTGCATTAGTGCTGGGGACAAATGTTATTCACTTATTGTAAAACTGATTCTAAATACTATCTGACACTACCTGAAAGTAGAACAGGCAGAATAAACAGGATTACTTTTATTTATAATCCAACAATGAAATGTTTATGGTTTTGTGTCCCACATCTCCCTTAGAAAATGCACATCATGTATAAAGTTTCTTGCACTCCTATCCCATACATTCAATTTAAAGATAGACCCTGAAATTACGATAAAATAATACTGCAACTAAACTAAAGGGCAGTAAAGGGCAAGAACCAAAACAGACTGAACAGTCTTCAAAATGTAAGTGTTGAAACACTGTGTGATTTAGAAAGAACTTGATGATCATACACATGCTACAAATAAACATCAAGGAGCTTGGTGCAATCTTGAATGGAATGACACCTCCTTCAATAAAGCAAGTTTTTCTTTTCTTTAAAAAAAAAAGTCCAGACTTAGGTTAAAGTTGTATCTGCTCCCCTTTGTAAACTGAGAAATAACCTCTTGGCAGGCTGCTTATTTTATAACATGCTTGGTGACCTCTGTTGGTGCCTACAACTGCAAGAGCATCACTCTGCCTCTCCCCATTGACTATGAAATCATTGTATTACAGAACCCCACAGACTGGCTGGCGAGACAGTGCCCCTAGTCAGTTATAAATATGCCGTTTTGTTTTGGTCAGAAGATGAGGAGGAGGTGGACAGGAAATGGGAAGAAGAGAAAGTAGGTCTGAAGCTCCTTTAAAAGTCTCCCCTCCATCTCTTCGATTAAGTTAACTCTGCCTAAAGGAAGGTCTGGGCAAGAAGCAGCCTGATATAGTTCCTTGTTCACGGATAGAGAAAGCCACGCAAATTAAAACAAAACGAAACATGAGAAACGATGGGGAAAACCGGACAATGTGTATTTATTTTATTTAGGGCGTGAGCGAGTAAGACACAATCACGACCCTTCCCCTTCTGGGAGATATCAGAAGCAAACGGGACCCCTTTGCAAATACCTATTTTGAACTGGAGCCCCACTTTTGAATACACAAAACACCTTTCTCAGGAGCCGCTTCACTGCCGTCCCGATGAAATCAGAATATTGCAAAACGGGGCGGAGTGAACGGCTGGGCAATACACAGAAGAGATTAACCAACCGACTCTTTTTGATTCTCGTGGGGCATTTTTATAGACGGCGATCTGTAGCCTGCAAGAAGGGAATCAATGATTCCCTTCACTCGTGTGTTGTTCATTTACAGTACAAATGCGGGCTCGCGCGCGCGCGCGCTCTCTCTCTCTCTCTCTCACACACACACACACACACACAGCCATAAACAGTAAATAGCCAGGGAACAGGGAGATCCGTCTATGGAGTTTGCAAACCGAGAGAGAAGGCACTGTTAATCCAAACACCCTCCCCAAATTCAATTTCCAGTTGGAAGAGCTCTTTTTTCTCCACCGGCAGAGTTCACGTGTCTTGAGACAGAAGGAAAATAAAAATCGAAATCCGCGCAATAGAGCAAGCCGGGGGGTGGGGGCGCGCGCGTGTCTGCGCTCTCTTGCCAAACAAAACATCCCACCGGTTACAAGTTTACTCGGCGGCACCTCAGGTCGCTGGGGCATCTCCCGGGGCGTCCATTAACACGCCAGTGGCCTCAGCTTGAGCCCGGAAGACAGGTCATTTCACCCAGAGTTAGAATTAGCGAACGGCGGGAAGGAGGCACGAGGAGCCCAAAGGGAGACGCTCCGCTACGGTTTGCCTAAGTAAAAGAGGTTTGGAAAGACCCGGCCAGCGGCACTTACTAAATTGCTTCGCGGGACTCGGCGCGGCTTCCTCCGGCAGCGAGCTGCTTCTTCTGTCGGGCTCGGGCTGTTGTCTTCCAATCCGCCCCGCCCCAGGGGCAGGCCAGACCCGGTTTTCCTTTCCTCCCCTCCCTCTTTTTTCTCTGTATACAAGAGGCGGACGCTTAGTCGGTGCGATCGCACGCGGCTGGCGTCTCAGGCTTCCAGGGGAGGGGAGGGGAAACGAGAAGGACCCTCCTCCGGCCGGCCGTCCATGCCGTTTCCAAGGAACGCGCTTCTCTCTCCTGTTCGCTCGCTCGCTCGCCCGCCCGCAGCCCGCTTCCATTGCTCGTTTGCCTCGAAGGGGTAGTAAGCTTAATGTCCCGGTTCCAGATTTGGCTTTGGACCTGTTTCCTACCGGACATTTCTCTTCTGAGCATTGAGAGAGTGGCTGAATTCACACATTGCGCCCAATGCATAGCTAACCTTGGTTTCTGGATTAAGCTGTGGGGGCTGGATTCACACGTCCACACTTAGCCGGGAAGGCAAGATACGAAGCTGAAGCCAGACATTTCCCCATGTTGCCCCCCAGATTTCATCCCACTCAACTTCGTGTGTCTTAAATTTCTGAAATTCTGAAGGAGTGTCGTCCTCTAGAAATGTTTTGCGTTTATTAGGAGTCCCAAGTTAAAGCAGCTTTGTGAATGGAGCCCATCCCAATGTAGGAAGAAATACAAGCTTTTGAATTATGACAGCAGTCTTAGGCAACTCAAACACACAAACAGCTTTAGTTAGTTATTTTAGATAGCCCCCGATTTCAGACAAGTGACTCTGGGCAGCAAACAATCATAAAACAGTTCAATACAATTGTAATACAATACAAAAATAAGTATATAGGGCAGCCAATTCTGCCTAGTATAAGTCCCTCTTCCTGAAATTAACTCCTAAAACTATGTATAGTGTCTATTTGTCAATAATCAAACTTTTGCTAGATCCTTACCAATTTTGGTAAAATTTGGAGGACATCCACAGTAAGTTATCCATCTTCTCTTGGGGAAAAGGAAACTGGCATGAAACTGGGACTCTGCATTTAAAAGTCATTACTGTTGAAGCTGCTGCTATTAATATCTACTCTCAGGGTTAAAATGGGAAAGTGTTTACAGTATTAAAAAGAAAATAGTGTCTGTTTGGTGCTGTTATCATGAAGTTTGGTTGCCAGTTTGGGATTCCAGCGGAGTACAGTTGTATAATGATTTTGCAACAAAAGATGGAGTGAATCCTCAGCTATATTATGAGTTGCCATCTAAATAGCAATTTTCAACTTGTCACTAGAATTTCAAATTAGTATATAAATCTTTCTACCATATTCTGTGTAACTCATTATTCTAGGCTGACTTCAAAATAAGAATCTACAGCTTTATTTTCTTTATCAAAATAATTTTTAAATGGTATAGATCTTGATTTTTTTAAAAATTGTGAAAAAGTTTAGAATATAACTCTAGAACACATGTCAAACTCAATCACGTCATGTGACGTATCATGACTTTTTTGCCTTTGTGGAGCCGCGGTGGGTGTGGCCTGTGTGTGACACATCCGGCCCGTGGGCCGTCAGTTTGACACCCCTGCTTTAGAATGACTGAACCCTCTGTAGCCTTTGTCCTGGATACATCAAGAATAAGGATGCAGCAGGGAAGGAGTTTCTATTAGAATTTATTGTCAAAATTATAATTTCCTGATTTGCCCTTAATATATAATTTTCAAATATACTGTATTTTGAATGAAAAGTCATTGATTTTCATATAAATTTAATAAAAATACTGTAAAAATCTTTTATTGAGAAGTTATTTGTAGCAAGGAATGTAAAAAGTGTTCTGCCCCATCATATTGACCAGCCTACTTGAGAATTAGATGCCAGAATTGAGATAATGTTAATTCTTTAATTCTCTTTCAAGGTCTTGTAAATAGTATCATGCACTCTATCCACAACTAAGGCCAACTGCATAGGTTTTAATTTATTTTCTGTATCAAAATTTTGAAGAAATTGTTATAAATATGACAAAGTATATGGCTAACAACTCACTTAAATAAGCAGCTTCTTATTCTTTAATTTTTCATTTCAGGGCACTTTTCTGTATTGTTTCTTCTCAAGCAATTATGTTATCTAAATCCTTTAAAACACTCTTATTCCCAATGTCTGCTAGTGAGGGATTTGAATTTCCAGGTAGCTTTTTAACACAGCTATTGCCATTGGAAAATAAACTACAATTTTAAGGTGATAGGACATGATACTATCAATAAGCATGCAATATCAGTAAGCATGCAGCCCAGGAGAATTCACTTGTAAGATGGTTGAGCTTTCCTTGAGAAATTTCTAAGAAAGCTAATAATTATAGAAGCAATTTCAGATTGTTCGGAGAGCTTTCTTATTCTTGTGTTTCCAAGTGGATCCTGAAACACTCAGCCAGAAACCTCCTAGAGATTAGCAGTGTTTCCCATCATCATGAATGGGAACAATCAGGAATACACAGCTGTCCGTTTGCTGTGATAAACCAACATCATGGGTAAAGCATGGTTCCATATGTGCAACTATTAAAAGTTACATAGAGAGGTGTGAGTTAAATGCATATGTATGTGATTAATCTATATGTATATATTCCTTTTAAGGGGAATATTCTGATGCAATATAAATATATGTTCTAATCAACTAACCAGATGCCTGTTCCTGGATCTGGATAGGAAGCGCCAGCTGAATTTTCCTATAACTAGCCCTAGAAAGGGGACATTTTTAAAAAATTTATCTCTCATCCTGTCTCCAGAAGCTGGAGGGTGGGGCTATTTCCCAATTCCCAGGGGGCTTCATGAGTGAGTTGGGAATTGTCCATATTTTCATAGCCTTAGTCCAACAATACTCTGACTCTCATTAACCACTAAAGACAGCAATACTGCTTAATTCACATATAATATCAAGATGTGTAAAACCTTTCTCACTTTATTAACTCGTGACTTTAGATGACACAAATACAGATATTTTCTCAGTTCAAAGAGAAATGGGAAGAGCATGATAAAATTTAAGTTTATAGATGTCGCACTTATCAATATTTAATAGCTATTGTATATATAAAATTATTTTGTTTGTATATTCATACTCTAACATTTAATGAACATAACAGGAAAGGGATATGAAAAAATAAGGAAGAATTTAAAGCTATCTACCAGACTGCATGGAGTTTATGAAAACTGCAAGGATTCCTATGTATCTCCTATGGGTATCCAGGCTGTTTCTGTATCTATGGGTTATAGGGGATGACCATAATTTCCTTACTTTTCTCTCACAGCAAAAAAAAAAAAGGTTAAGAATCACTATATTTTCACTAGCAGTGCCAATAATTCACAATTATTTTTCTATTATGCATCAATGGTTTCTTTCAAATGGATTCTTTCAGAGAATCCATTTCAGCAAAGGAATGTGCACAGGGAAGGGTGAGAAAGTGATGTGGATTTTTTCTTTGGATGAAGTTGGATGAAGGAATCTTAGGTATTACACTGATAGATGTAGCCACAAAAGACCAAGCTCAGCAGCTGATAGGGGTCTCATGTCCCTCATCCTACTTTTTAAGAGGAGGCCACAAAAAAGCAAATTGTCTTCTGTTTATGAATCATACAGAATTTTCATGGAATGGGAAGTCTGCTCATAGAAATATAGAAAATTCTTAGGATTTCTTTTAAATTCTATAGCTTCTTTTAAAATTGAGCTAACATACCAGTATTTGTGGGAACTTGGATAGACAGCCACCAGGAAACCCAGGGCTGTGGACTAGGTTAGGAATTTTATTTTAAAAAATAAAATAAAAACCATCCTGAAAGAAGGCAGTGACAAGCTACTTCTGTACTGCTTTTCTAGAAAATGATATGAAATGGGTCTACAAATTCACAAGGGGAAGTTTACTTTAAAGGAGATTTCACTTCTTTTAGGGTATATCGTAGAATTAATGTGGTGTAAGTGAAACTTGATTGAACTTCTGTTTCTATTCGCCAGTTCAGATTTGGCCAATATTTCAAAAAGCGCTTGTTGTAGTACAGTTTTGCAGTAGAGAAAAATTGTGGCAAACTAATGATGGCATACATCAATTTCATTAGAAGCTTTTTACTGTTTTAGCCCAGTATTGTTATTCTGAGGGGCAGTCCTCTGACACACAATGACTTGATTGATATTTTACCATTTATCTAAAGATAATTGGGAATTGAACCTGGGATCTTTGGCATGTAAAGCAAGTGCTCCAGTATTGAGAGGTAGCATAGAAGGCTTAAGAACCTCCCTTGCTCAGGGTTTTTATTTTGGTTAAATATCCAGTCACATATTATGCAAACTCAGATAAATACAGTTCTTATTGAAATTGAAATTACCATAAGTTGTTTAGAATAGAGTAGCAAAAATATGTAAGTTAAAGTCATTAGCTTTAATTAGAATGATTTACATACAGTTCTTTTAATTTGGTTGGAAGGCTTTGACCAATAATTAATGGTGCCTAATTCATTTACAAAGCTTATGTGTGTATACTTGTACATATTCCAATGCAGCAGAGAGAAAACTCTTTTTTATGTCATTTCTCACTTCTTTCTAACTTTAGTATCAAGTAAAAAAAAGGGAAGAAAAGAAAATAGGTAAAAGAAATGACCAAGGAGGCATGTGTGCTTAATACTTTCTCCAGGATGAACATATCCTGGCATTTTGGGCAAGAAGCCACAGAGACAGTGTCCAAATGACTTTGATCCTTGTTATTCTTACCTTTGAGAAGCTGCCCCAGTCAGAATGTATGTGGTGTAGATTCCCTTATAAATGCCCAGGCCAGAGGTATAGCCATGGGAGGCAGGCCCCATGAGGTCAAAGGTGGCTGATTGCTTTGTTGTGAGATTGCCCATCAAAGCCCTTTATCTCATCCTTCTTACTCTCCTACTCATTCTTTGGCCTTTTTGTAAGAGAACATTGTTAAAATGTTCCTTTTAACAGGCTTTTTTAAAAAAAACCTATCCCCACTGATTTCTCCTCAGGAAGAAATAAAAGGAAAGGGGAGAGCAAAGAGCAGAGGAGGGGCACACCCATACAGAAAGAAACAACTGGACAATTAAAAAAAGAAAGGGGGCCCAGAGGGGAGAACAAAAACAATTAACAATTCCAAAGGAGTGAAGAGA